CAAAACCTTATACTATTACAACAGCAGCTTAAAAGTCCAAGTAGCACAACAACAGCTAAAGGCTACAGTCAAAAAATGGAAGTAAAACAGTTGTTTAAAGCTAAAACTAGCCAAACAATAGCTATTTTATTATAGCCAAAACCTTATACTATTACAACAGCAGCTTAAAAGTCCAAGTAGCACAACAACAGCTAAAGGCTACAGTCAAAAAATGGAAGTAAAACAGTTGTTTAAAACTAGCCAAACAACAGCTTAACATTTATAACCAAAACCCAATATTTTCACAACAGCAGATGAAAACTATAATTAAAACTGTAGCTAAAAGGTAAGATTAGCAACACAGTAGCTTAACCAAGTATACAAATTTAAACGCTAAAATTAGCAAAAACCCTAGATAAAAGCTACATTTAGCACAACAGCAGCTAAAGGCTTAAGTCAAAAAATGGTAGTAAAACAGTTGTTTAAAGCTAAAACCAGACAATAGCTATTTTATTATAGCCAAAACCTTATATTATTACAACAGCAGCTTAAAAGTCCAAGTAGCACAACAATAGCTAAAGGCTAAAGTCAAAAAATGGAAGTAAAACAGTTGTTTAAAGCTAAAACTAGCCAAACAATAGCTATTTTATTGTAGCCAAAACCTTATATTAAAACAAGAGCAGTAGCTAAAAGTAAAATTTGCAAAACTTAACCCAGTAAACAAGTTTAAATGCTAAAATAAGCTTAATCATAGATAAAAGCTAGATTTAGCATAACAGTAGCCAAAATCTAAACTAAGCAAAACTGTTTGACCTGAAATTGGAAAAACAAAAACTTTGCATTTTTTTATATTTTACTAAATTTACAAATACAATTTTATTTGTCTCTATAAAGCTCAAAAAGTTACGTAATTTAGAAAATTGTGTACTGTTAGCTTTAAGCTAGCTATTGACTACTTTTGGCTTTTAGCAAGCCTTTTGCGCAATTAGGTTTTCACTGGTTTTATGTTGCATTGCTACCTTTTGATTTTAGCTCACATTTTGATTTTTTTGTTTGTTTGTAGTTTTGTTGTTTATTTATTTAAGAAGGGACAATGCAAATTAAAATGCCAGAATTAGCCATGGAGGCTAGTTTTCATCTGTAGTCCCTCAAGGTCCTATGGTGATGTCCTATGATATAAATACAATACATACAAAACAACAAGTTACTTTCATTAAAAAACACTAAAAATATGACAAAAAGCATGATTAAAAATAATAAAAAGCCATTTAGCTCAGTTTTGGCTTTTTTTTTTTCAGAAAAGTCTTTAAGCACTGAGCTTTTACACTGAAATTTATTTAGCTAAAAACACTTTAAAATGCCTGAACTATCCCTTTAAGCTCCGACACAACAAGGCTGCAGAGCTATATGGAATCAGGATTAAACTTTTTTCTGTCTCACTGTAGTTCACACAGAAAGCAGCCTTTATAACACTATAAMAGYTGATTTGATTAAAAACCRTTTTAAATTTAAAAGCTGTGATGGTCACAGGTGGACGTTTATGGAGCCGCTAACAGCAGCTATAAACAGGACATTTGTTAAAACTGTCTCCTGCAACAACAACATGCTTCTGCCCAGACACGAGCCGCACTCCACAGCCCTGTTTTTATGTTTTCGGCTGCTCCTGTCTGTTTCTGAACACGCCTCACCCTGATGCGTGCCACCGACTGGACAGTTGGTTCGTTCTCTCTGATGGACCCCACGTACGCCTCCTTCTGAAAGAGGGGCACGTTGTCGTTGACATCCTCCACGGTCACGCGGATCCTTCCTGTCGTCTCCTCCCCGCCGCCRTCCCTCGCCAGCACGGTCAGCGTGTAGCGGCGCATCAACTCGTAGTCCAGAGCAGCCTTCAGAGTGACCCAGCCCGTCTCCTCGTTCAGTGTAAACCTGTCAGAGAAACAAGCCGAAGTGCAGAAAACAACAGTTATTTCACACCCAGCTGTGATGTCTTTAACACTGTGAATAAAAAAGTTAACCAGCGATTATAAGAGGAACAAAAATGAGGAAATAGTTGAAGCTTCAATAGAAACTTAGAAATACGTAAAACTCAAACACAATGTAGAGAAACGATGGAGCTGTTTGTGTCCAAAAACAAAAATAATTYTATTTCACGCTTTAGAGTGTGAGTGACCTTCAGCTACTATCACACCAAATTTTAGCTCAATATTTGAAAAACTGACTGAAAATAAGACATTTCTGGGTTTTTACGTTCAGTTAGCTGTGACGGCCATCTTGAATTGTGTTTGCTTCAGACTTTAATCAGTTGTAGATGATCATCCAATGAATTTGTCCACTTGTTCATGACATATTTTGCTAAAAGACATGCACATTGTTTAAAAAATGTAATAATAATAAAWAAAATACAGTCAAGACAAGTAGTTCTTACGGAGACCAAAGACAGGTCCTGGTGGAACTCCATTTATGGGTTAGGTTTAGGATGAGGAGTCAGGGTTAGGTGGTCCCAGTAAGGATAGAAATACAAACTTGTGTGTGTAAGTAAGTGTTTTCTTACTGGTCTGGATCGTCTGTGAAGGAATATCGAACAACCCCAAAAATGCCGGCATCTCCGTCTGTAGCCTGGAGAGAAAAGATCGRTTTGTTTTACAATCAAACACATTTCTCTGTTTAATTTCCCATTTCTCTTTTAAAACCATCTATAAATCCCAGAGAAGTTAAAAGACTTTTTACGCACAAAAAAATTCAAATACCAGAAACACATTTTTAAAAACACACTTATAGGAGAATTTTGATCGTATTTTGTACATTTTGAAGATACACAATTCTGAAATTTGCGGCCAAAGAGTGTAATTTCTTCACCTTGGCAGTTTTTAAATGAGATTTTAGAGGAAAACCTCTCATATTTATGACAATACCAGCCAAGACAAAGAGAGTCCGAAAGTCTAAAGCAATTTGAAACAAGTATTCAAATATTTACCGTCTCTTAGAGCTCATGTTAKTAGCTTTTAGCTGCTATTCCAGATTTTAGGTTTCATTATTCTGCTACTTTGAGCTTCTAGGTACTTTTAGCTTCGGGTTATTCTTCCTCTATTTTTGGTAAACATAGCAAACCATTAGCAACTCTAAGCTTTTAGCTAACCCTTCGCTACATTTAGTCAGCATTTTCTGCTTTTGGTTTTTATCTATCTTTTTGCTTCTGATACTTACTAGGGCTGTGTATTGGCAAGAATTTGGTGATACGATACATATCATAACAGAGGGGTCACGATACGATATATCC